TAACCATTCTGCATATGTAAACCTCACCCTCGCAGAATTGGGTTTAAATGTACATAGTCTGTATAATTAGATGACCGAGATGAAGGAAATTGTCAACTGTTTGTTATTAACTGATCAGTTTTTTTTCAAAAAAATTTTTTCGTGCTCACGTTCCCTCCGTATTCTGAGAGTTTGACAGTAATGATCTGAGTTGGCACCAGATGCCTTTGCTGTTAATTTCACCTTGTATATATATATATTTATTTCCTCAGAATCTGTAGAGTGCATGAATACAGATCGATCGATCAATTCCATCCCATATTGTACCATGATTTGTTCTTATAGTTTGTAATGCATTACGTTAAAAGTGATTACGTTAACACCCATTACGTAAAACTCATTTTCTTAACATCCAGTATGATACCATCCATTAGTTCTAAGTTATATATGAATTTGTTATTGTATAGAATCAGCCCAGAACCACCTGCCTGTTCAGCCTATAGCATAGTAGTGTATGTCGGGACGACATACGTAACATGACCGAGGTGTCAGCATAGTTGCTGATCCCTTTATATGTGTTATATAGATTAGCTGAGTATCATAGTACCATCCATTTGTTTATATAGAAGATCCCTTAGGCCTGTGACTGTATGACGTCACGGGGTACAGCTTGAGTCAGGGTGAGACGCGCTGCCTCGTTCTCACTCGGCGGACCACCTACAAGCAGGCAGAACAGGGCAGGCCTGGGCTCCCACCTCTCATCACAGTCTGACAATATATAGTGTTACCATCCAACAAGGTGTTTACCTTCAACCCTCGTATCTCCTTAAGAACCCCTACGACAGCAAGTGAGTCATAAAACTCACGAGTCAGTGCATTAACCACTGGGCCAGCTGGCTCTAATATCTTATTAGAGCCGCCAGTGGTTAACACATTGGCCTGTGAGTTTTAGGACTCATTAGCCATGGGTTCAAACCCCACCCATTCCCTGATTTGTTTGTAATCTGTTATTACACCAGAATTAAACTCTCAACCTGAGGAATAAACTCCTCAACCTGTACTCCCTGGAATGCAGGCAAGAGAGATACATGATTATATACACTTGGAACATCCTAGAGGGATTAGTACCAAACTTGCAAACGAAAATGACTCCCTATGAAACCAAAAGACTCGGCAGACGTTGCAACATTCCCACAATGAACAGCGGGGGCACTACTAGCATGATAAGGGGTAACAATAAATGTCATGGACCCAAGACTGTTCATCTGCCTCCCAGCATACATAAGGGGGATTACCAATAGCCCCTGGTTTTCAAAAAGGCACTGGACAGGCACCTGAAGTCAGTACCTGACCAGCCAGGCTGTGGTTCATAAGTCATGTAACAGCCTGGTTGATCAGGCCCTGATCTACCATGAAGCCTGGTCACAGACCGGGCCGCAGGGTCGTTGACCCCCGATACCTTCTCCAGGTATACTCGGGTATATATACGCTGAGAAACGTACACCTTTCAGTCATTTGTATATATATCATTAATATAAAAAGAGAATAGGTTACAATCATAGCCATAATTGTCAAAGGAGTGGAGGGGTAAGCCAGTGGAAGGCTTCGGTCAGATGACCAACATCTCCAGTTGCGGCTCATCATATGACTAGGACCCGAGTCAGGAAACACTTGTCCTATTTCCTGACACATCGACATCTTTCAGTGAACATTAAGATGGTCCTCGATGACGCACTGACTTCCCTGGGCTATCCTGGGCGGTTAATCTTCCGAGTTAAAAAAAAAAAATAACGAACGAATCTTAACATATCCTGTGATCTTCTATGACATGTAAAGACGTGATATATGTATGCTCGAGATTGTAGATGAATGGTTCAGAGAACTGACAAGTTGATAAATTAAACACATGTGCAACTCTTGGGTATCTTTATTGAGGAAACGTTTCGCCACACAGTGGCTTCATCAGTCCAGATTGTATACGGATGTTTTATCAACTACATACAGTACGTTCTATCCAAGGAAAGTATAATCTATGCAGTAAGGGTAAATATTTATTCAGACTGCGTGCAAAATATACTACATTTTTTACAACGATCTTGAGCGTAAAATGGGTGATTTATTTTCAAAGTTACAGCAGCATCTAGACTGGGTGCTGAAACTAGTGGTTTCCAACTTTAACTGAGGTTCCCCTCAATTACATTTTCTGTGTCATCGTTATTACATTAGCTTTTATTACATTTTCTTCAAAAAAAAAAAAATCGCTGCGCGGAATTGAATTATGGCATATAATGCAACCTGTACTGATCAAAGTGAATTTTATAGTTACACGAGCTTTTTTTTAATTCATGAAAAGCGCTAAACCCATAAGGGTCAGTTTTTCTTACACCTTGTTGTATAAATTCTATTTTTAAATAGACAAACACACGCAACTGCAAACAGGCGATTTTAACAATGCAGTACAAGCCATATGTAGATAGAAATCTTTAGCTCAAGATCTTTCGCACTGTTTTGCGTCGTCAGGTGCTATGCAGTGTTGCAAGACTAGCAACAGATAGTAGGGGACTAATTCTCTCAGGAGCAAGGCAGAAGCGTAGTGTCAGGTCATATCACAGTGGATGTGACGTAGGTCATCTGTTTCTTGTCGGGACACAAGCAGGACCTGTCTAGAAATTTGCTGATCTGCCACACCCTGGCCCTGTCAGGTATGTTTGAAATCGTTGCAATTCCAAGGACACCTGTGTTCTGGCTTCCCAGATCTTATTGGTTGAGTAAGCGAATATCCTTAAATTCTGACGCTAGTGGAGAAGCCTATCCTTTGTGTAAAGCACGGATGGTATCCTCCCATGGAGGGTGATTCCTAACTCTGGAGTTGAGGAGGGGGGGGGGTGCATGAAGGATCATATAAGCCCATGGAAACAGCTAAAACGGAGAAGTGGTTATAACTGACCATAATTTTTAAAGGGGTGGGCCGGTAAGCCAGCGGAAGGCCTTGGTCAGATGACCAAAAGCTCCAGAGGCGGGTCATTATCTAAGACCCGGGTCAAGAAACACTTGTCTTGTTTCCTGACAACCCTTACCTAACGTAACCTAGCTAAGAGAGAACTTGAGGCGGAGGACTGACAAAATGCAGTACTCTGGCCGGGCGAGAACTGGAGGCTCTGTAAGAGATTCGGGTTCAGCTTTAGCTGGGAGTAGAGAGCTCAAGAGAGAGCTCTTGATGGGAGACAGAGCTGGAGGCTCTGGAGAGAGAGCTGTCGCAAGTGTGGAGTATCGGGACCTGTGGCTGGAGACTAACTGAGCTCCTAGTGGTGAACTCTCCTACTGATCTTATGCTGTAAATATATATTCACTTCATCAGCTAAGTTGTATCCCCTGTCTCAATAACTTGTGTACCAGCCCCATTGATCTTAATATCAAATCCCTTACCTTTTTTTCCAAAAATATGTATAAGTGTTAATACACTGTAATAGAGTGAAATAATATATTCACTGTCCCCGTCTTTATAAGGTTATAAGTGCAGTGTAGTGAGGTGAGGTGGGGGGGTAGTCTCACCTGTTACCTGGACGGCTACCACCTTCCATCCTTCTCTCTCACCTTATTTTCATCTCATACTTGTTTACCCCCCCCCCATCCTCTATATAACATGGAGTTTCCACTGTGACATGGTCCGACACTTCTTCCTTGCCTCAGAGAGAATTTTCCCACCTTTCATATGTTGCTAGTCTTGCAACACTGCATAGCTCCTGACGACGCACAGAGTGCGAAAGATCTTGAGATGAAGATTTCCGTTATGTGGTGTTCTGCATATATATATATATATATATATATATATATATATATATATATATATATATTATATGTGTGAGCGTGTTTGATAGGAGTGAATGGAGACAAATGGTTTTTAATACTTGACGTGCTGTTGGAGTGTGAGCAAAGTAACATTTATGAAGGGGTTCAGGGAAACCGGCAGGCCGGACTTGAGTCCTGGAGATGGGAAGTACAGTGCCTGCACTCTGAAGGAGGGGTGTTAATGTTGCAGTTTAAAAACTGTAGTGTAAAGCACCCTTCTGGCAAGACAGTGATGGAGTGAATGATGGTGAAAGTTTTTCTTTTTCGGGCCACCCTGCCTTGGTGGGAATCGGCCAGTGTGATAATAAAAATAAAAAAAATAAATAAATATATATATATAATATACTGGACTGGCAAGTTAGAACTAGAAAGCAAGGGTCATTTCTGCAGAATAAGCATAGTGAAAATTGTTTTATGCAATATGCGAAAATCAGTCTGAACAAAAAATATATGTCATTTAAGTAACATTAAATCAATTTAAAGTGATCTATGATATATTTAGTAGAATTCGGCCAAAAAAATTACCTTAGGTTAGGTTAGGTTCGTAAGTTAGGTTTGGTGCCAAAATATACATTTTTACACGATATTCAGAGAAAAAATGTGCCTGTTAATCCATAAAAGAAAATCTGGGAAAAGGCCAAAAGAAAGTACAGTAGAAAGTACAGAATAAGAAAGTTTGTAATCTAAATGGAAGCTACAACCTGTTGCCTGCCCGCGTTCTTTATATTGATTCATATTGATGAGTGTCGGCATCCCTCGTCGGCATCCCTCACCGGCATCCCTCAGGCTTCACATTACTCATGGGATAGAACCCATACAATGGAATGTTAAGCTCCAGTGTGTATTTTTTTAAGCAAATAACATGTTACACTTTGGCGGGGAGAATCAATGGCTACTGCGCGGTTATCGTACTGTATATGGAGTTTACGCTGGAAGACCAACGGGCGGGCATACGACTAAACCTGCACATCACGCGCGACATGACAGGTCACGAGCGTAGGTCATATCGATGCTCCGACCTCTCACGGATATATGACGTAGAGTAAGCATTAGTTTCAAGCATTTATGACCGCGTGGTTAAAGGAAAGCAAATCTTAATTACGTGATTCGTGCGGCGGCAGCTCCCCGCAGCGGCAGCGACTCTGGGATCACCAGTAAAGTGGTCAGTGTGAATTGTGCTGTGAAGGGGGGTGTGTGTGTGTCAGTGCTGCTCAAATATTTTCCCCATCATATCAGTTGCCTCTTTATTAGTGTCAGCGTGATAGTGTTGGCTAACCATACATATCCAACTCAGGGTCAGTGGGGTGTAGTGTTAGTGAGTGACTGGTAGAGAGGTTGTTCTCAAGCTCCTGGGATACTACAACATTTTGCATCTTGGTGAATTACAGCCCAGTGGAACCCACGTGTACAGGTAACACCAGCCTCCCGCCTTCACTCATCTCTATTTTAACTCAGTTATCTCTCTTCTAGGTCATTTATAAATGCCTTTCCCCATCCAGAATCTGGGTGCGACGCTGTTAGACCTAAGCTGGCCTTTTGATGGGATTTAAAATCTCTTAGACGTCCAAAAGCGCTGTATAGCCCTTGTGGTTTAGCGCTTCTTTTGTTTTTTTTATTATAATCATAGAGCTCCAGTGGCAATAAATCACTTCGACTTGACCTTTTTTGAGGGGTTATCCTAGGTAATTTGTGTGTATCTAGGCATAATTGTGTCTACCTGTATCTAAGTGAACTTAGACAATGATATATGTTCAGAGTTACTAATGGGAATTAAACTGTAAAAATATTGGCTTCAGATTCAGAATTTAGTAAATTAGTCACGGAAGCACTAAACCCGTAGTGATCAAAGAGCGCCGGGGGAATGGGGGGACATCAAGAGCTCTTCGACAGCATCAGGAGTCCTTCGACAGCATCAAGACGTCGTCGACACCATCGTGAGTCCTTCGACAGCATCGTGAGTCCTTCGACACCATCGTGAGTCCTTCGACAGCATCAAGAGTCCTTCGACAGTATCAAGAGTCCTTCGACAGCATCAAGAGTCCTTCGACAGCATCAAGACGTCGTCGACACCATCGTGAGTCCTTCGACAGCATCGTGAGTCCTTCGACACCATCGTGAGTCCTTCGACAGTATCAAGAGTCCTTCGACAGCATCAAGAGTCCTTCGACAGCATCAAGAGTCCTTCAACAGCATCGAGTCATTCGACAGCATCAAGAGTCCTTCGACAGCATCAAGAGTCCTTCGACAGCATCAAGAGTCCTTCGACAGCATCAAGAGTCCTTCAACAGCATCAAGAGTCCTTCAACAGCATCAAGAGTCCTTCAGCATTAAGAGTCCTTCGACAGCATCAAGAGTCCTTCGACAGCATCAAGAGTCCTTCAGCATCAAGAGTCCTTCGACAGCATCAAGAGTCCTTCGACAGCATCAAGAGTCCTTCAACAGCATCAAGAGTCCTTCGACAGCATCAAGAGTCCTTCAACAGCATAGTCCTTCGACAGCATAAGAGTCCTTCGACAGCATCAAGAGTCCTTCGACAGCATCAAGAGTCCTTCGACAGCATCAAGTGTCCTTCGACAGCATCAAGAGTCCTTCGACAGCATCAAGAGTCCTTCGACAGCATCAAGAGTCCTTCGACAGCATCAAGAGTCCTTCGACAGCATCAAGAGTCCTTCAACAGCATCAAGAGTCCTTCGACAGCATCAAGAGTCCTTCAGCATTGAGTCATTCGACAGCATCAAGAGTCCTTCAACAGCTTAAAGAGCTCTTCGACAGTATGTAGACTAAGAAAAAACACAGTAAGTGTCCAGGGCCCAAGACTGTTCAACAGCCTCCCACCAGTCATCAGGGGCATTACCAATAGACCCCTGGCTGTCTTCAAGAGGGAGGTGGACAGATACCTAAAGTCAGTGCCGAATCAGCCGGGCTGTGGTTCATACGTTGGACTACGTGCGGCCAGCAGTAACAGCCTCGTTGATCAGGCTCTGATCCGCCGGGAGGCCTGGTCGTGGACCGGGCCGCGGGGGCGTTGACCCCCGGAATACCCTCCAGGTAGGTAGCATCAAGATACTTCCGCCAGCATCAAGATACTCCCGCCAGCATCAAGATACTCCCGCCAGCATCAAGCTACCCCCACCAGCATCAAGATACTCCCACCAGCATCAGGATACTCCCACCAGCATCAGGATACTCCCACCAGCATCAAGATACTCCCACCAGCATCAAGATACTCCCACCAGCATCAAGATACTCCCACCAGCATCAAGATACTCCCACCAGCATCAAGATACTCCCACCAGCATCAAGATTCTCCCACCAGCATCAAGATTCCCCACCAGCATCAAGATACTCCCACCACAAAATACAATTTCAACAACAAGAACATCAACTGGGACCAGGTAAACCATGTCCTAAACGAAACATGTTGGGAAGATGTCTTAAATGACATGGACCCAAACCAGTGCCTTGAAAGGATCAACTGCCTGGTAGCCGAAGCATGTTCTAGGCATATTCCCCTAAGAAAGAAGAAGAGCAGGAGTAAACTGGAGAGAAAAAGACGCTCCCTCTTCAGAAGACGACGAAGAGTCACTGAGCTCCTCAGGAGTGCTAGAATATCTGATACACGAAGGGGGGCGCTGACCAGGGAAGTGGAAACTATCGAACTTAAGCTAAATGACTCTTACAGGAACCAGGAGAGGCAGGAGGAGCTTAAAGCTATTAGTGAAATTGAAATTCAAAATATTTCTTTTCATATGCCAAAAACAAGGCAAATACCACATCTAGTATCGGGCCCTTACTCAGACAGGATAAGACTTACACAGACGACAACAAGGAAATGAGTGAAATATTGAAATCCCAGTACGACTGTGTTTAGTGAACCACTAATCGGTCTGAGGATCGACGACCCAAATGATTTCTTCATGAATGAGCCTCAAAACTCCATAAATGTATGCCAGATTTCCGACATTACCCTAACTGGACAAGCACCTAAAGTCAGTTCCTGATCAGCCGGGCTGTGGCTCGTACGTTGGTTTGCGTGCAGCCAGCAGCAACAGCCTGGTTGATCAGGCGCTGATCCACCAGGAGGCCTGGTCACAGACCGGGCCGCGGGGGCGTTGACCCCCGAAAACTTTTCCCCCAGGTAAACTCCAGGAAAAAACCCCGATGATTTCAAAAAACCCATTACAACATGCCTTGCACTCACCCCCCGGCCCAGACCGGGGGAACTCGTTTTCATTAAGAACTGAAAGAAACCCCCCGCGGCCCTAAGTACACTATGGGGGAGGACTTGGACAGGGGGAAAATTTCCACAGTACTTAAAAAAACGGATATACCCACCCCATAAAGGTGGCAGCAAAGCTTGCTAAGAACTATAGCCCAAAATAGCTCTGACATCCCACATCATAAAAATTTTTGAAAAGTGCTAAGAAGCAGGATTGAAATCCCCTGAACCCCAAAAATCTGCACAATCCAGGGCAACAGGGGGTTCAGGGCAGGTCGCCCTGCCTCTCAAAAACACTGGTCATAGAAGGGCCCTTGGATGCACGGAAAAAATCAAAATGCAGATGAATATACACGACTTTGCAAAAGCATTTGACAAATGCGATCATGGCGAAACCTAAAAAAATGCAAAAGGAATAACGGGGAAAGGGGGGAATGGATCTTCAATTTCCTAAAAAATCGAACAAAAGATAGTGGTAAACAAGTTAAAGGGGGCTCCCATAGTGAAGAGCCTGTTCCACAAGGACATACTCGCCCCCATCTTATTCCTTATCCTCTACCCCCCTCAGGGAAGGTTCCTTATGTTGGTGAGGGGGCTTTTTATTTGGGGGTTGGATTGGTCCATTCCCCAATTAAGCCTAAATCCCTTTCCACATCCCCCCACGTTTTAAAATCCTACGGGTTTTTAGCGTTCCCCCTTTATAAAAAAAAATAAAAATTACCTCATATCAGACTAAACAGAGATATCACCACACACCTAATCATCCTTTGGGGATGATACTAGGTTTGCATGAGCTGTCATCTCGAGGACGCGTTAACCTCCAAGAAAATAAAACCAAAAGTTTTCCAGTGGGCAACGGTAAACAATAATGTTCAATGGGGACAAATTCCAACTACTCCGTTAGGGAAAACGGGGAAGGAGATAAAACTAGAAAAACAGAGAATATACGACTCCGGCCGTACAATAAAAAGCGGAAAAATAATTTTTAAACCCCTGGGAGTGATCGGGGATCTATTTAAAGGACCCAACTTGCCACACCACGTCAAAAAAAAATGGGAGGTTGAGAACTTTCAAAACCAGGAGAAGATATATTTTTAAAAAACATTTGGGTTTTTTGGGGAATGGTCAAACCTCCACAAACATTAAAAATAGACGGGGAAAGGCGATCATGCACTAAATTTTGTGCCCCATTGGAAACCTTAAAAAACACATTTTTCCCCGGGGCCAAAAATTTTCAAACCCGAAAATTTGGGGAATTTGCCCAAATACCCCTCCCTCAAAGAAAAGCGGGGACGATCAAAATGGCCAATAAAAGGGGGGCCCCCTGGTCCCTGGAAAAAACCCTGGTCCGGGAAAAATTTTAACACCCCCCATCCTTGGGGGTTGAAAAAAACCCGGTCCTTCGGAGGCTGGTCCGTGTCCGGCCCCCGGGGGGCTGTCCGGGGGGAAATTCCTCCCCGGGTAACACCCTAGTTTATCACCCGTCCATGGGGGAACTTCCCCGGGGGCCGGGGGGGGTTATCCCCGGATAACCCTCCAAACCACAAGGATACTCCCACCACTCAGGATACCCCCACCAGCATCAGAATACTCCCCCAGCATCAAGTACTCCCCCCCAGCATCAGGTACCCCCACCACATAAAGATACCCCCACCAGCATCAAGATACCCCACCACTCAAGATAAAAAAGGGGAAAAAAACTAACATCAAGGGTTAAAAAAAAAATTTTACCCCGGGGTTCCCACCAATCAAAATCCCCCAACACTCAAGTACCCCACCAGCATAAAAGTTACCCCACCACATAATATACCCCACCAGCACAATTACTCCCCCAGCATCAAAATACCCCCCCCCAGCATCAAGGACCTTCCCCAAAAAATAAAGGAACCTCCCGGCAGGGTAAAACGTACTCGGAATGTGCATTGATGCCGAAAAGGGGGCTCCCCGTTCTGTTTCCCCCCCCCCCCCTTCCCCAGGCACCATATAACCCCTAGGGTTTAGGTTCCCCCATAATTATAAAACATGCATAAAGATGTTAAGTAGAAAGACAGATTGTTTTTTTGAGTGTCGACTCAGAAGACTAGTAACCCCGGGAAGCCTAGTAACCCAGGAAGCCTAGAATTTAAACCCCAGGGAATTTTGTTTGACTCCAGATTCAAATTTTTATTTTTTCTTTGTGGTACAAAAATAAT